TTGAAGAGAATCCACTTGGATGAAACTCTTGAGTACGTCACCAACCCTTGCCATTCTTTCAAAGCTCTCTATGAAGGGCAATGGTAAACTGGGAAGGCCGGGGGAAAGGTAAGAAGCCAAGGACTTCCTTTGTGAAGGTGTCCCAACCCTGCCCACACAATGTCCACCTTTGTACAGGACAAAATCTCTTTAGCCCTTTGGGCCCACCTTGGAGGTGACAGATTCATTGGACAAGGGCTCCACTGTGGGTCTGAACTGGCACTTGGAAAAAGAAGGGATGATGGGCAGACAAGTTGATATCAGCACTCAGTCAATTAGCTACAAGGAATTGTTGAGTGGCAGCAACGCCATTCTCCATTTTACATGAGAAAGGCAACGAAAACAGCCAACCAAAATATGAGGCTATGCCCTAGGGCGAGCCACTCAAATGCTGCCTCCCTTCCCCTCCCCCTTCACCTAAAAGGAAATGCAAAATGTGCAAGTAGGAATCACATTCCTGCAGCTGTAGATCTTGTCGTCATCATCATCATCATCATCGTCATCGTCGTTGAAAACTTTTGTGTTGTTAGGTGCTACTAGGCTGATTCATATTCACAGTGACCTCATCTGACAGAGTTGAACTGTCCCATAGGGGTTTCTAGGTTGTAATCTGTACAGGATCAAACTGCCGGGGCTTTCTCCCACAGGGCTGATGACAAGTCTAGCAGGGTAAGTATCCATCAACAGATGGATGGGCTACAAAATGTGTTGTATAGACTACAATGGAATATAGCTCAGCCCGAGGAGCTCCTGATATATAGACTAAAATAATGCAGTCACAACAAAAGGACAAATATTGTGTGATCCCACTTAGATGAAACAGGCAAAAAAAACCAACCAAACAAACAAAAAAAACCAGGCAAATGTAGAGTGACCAGTATTTATCAATGGTGACCAGAGAGAAATGGGAAGTCTTTGTTAATGATGGTGGAATAAATTGAAAACGGTAGAGGTGCTAATTGCATAGCCATTAATCATGAATTATACATTTGAAAATGCCACTGAATTACACATGTAAAAAATGTTTAACTGGTAAATATTGAGAGAGAGAGAAAATGCATGAGTAAGTACATGAATGAGCCCTGGTGGGACTGTCTGGTAAGCATTGAACTAGTAACCACAGGGTCAGTGGTTCAAACCTACCAGGCACTCACTCCATGGGGGAAAGATGAGATTATCTGCTACTATAAATATTTACAGCCTTGGGAGCGCTATTTAGGATCACTATGAGTTGGACTAAACTAGATGGCATGAGTTTGGTACACATAATGTCTTAACCACAATAAAATAATATAAAAAAGGAAACCTAACAAGCCAATTAGAAAACTTGGCAAGTTTGAGAGTGTGTATTTATAGACTTGAACCAAAATGTACACAGACTATAAATGTGGCCATCAGCTATTAAGCATTTAAAATTACAAACTGAAACACATACACACATGCAGAGAGTGGGAGAGAGTGTGCTTGAGCTGCTGCAGAGCAGACTAAGTTCTAGCTACAAGTCATTTGAGAGTAGTTTTAAAAAATGCAAACTGTAAAACAGCTTATAAACCCACTTGAGATTTGAGAACACACAGCCTTCTCTTTGGGAGCTAAATAAAAATTATTTTATCAGGAGCCATTGTTGATGCAATAGAGGAATGTACTGTAATGCTATGAAAGCCCCAAACCACCTTTCTTATCATCATAAAACATCACATGGCACTAACAGAAGTTGCTCCACTATAAGTGGTCCACAGTTGCGTTCATAACAATGCATGTTGTGTAAGAGAAGTAAGGAAACAATTATTTTCTTTAGAATCAGACCGACAAAAAGTAATGAAATTGAATGACAGATGTTTACAACCCTTGACTCAGTCTGATCACTGCCATTCCATAAAATCAGCCAGTCCCCCCACGTTTTTGCATTCCTCCTCTCCCCTCCCTGAGCTCAGCAGCTCAGGGACGACTACATGCCGGCATCGCTTCTGCTGGTGCCCAAGGCTTCATGTGCCCTCAGCAGCAAGGATGGAGATCAACCACAAAGGCCCAAAGCCGCCTTCCAAGTGGCCTCAGAAATGAGCACCCTCCCCCAAGGCTTCTGCAGCTAGCAGAAGCCCAGTTCTGTGTAGAACTATCACACAAGCCAAGGGCAAACCCAACTGCGAGACTTCTAGAAGGCAGTTCTCACCTGTTGCAGAATGTGTCTTTCCCTCAGCGTCATTAACCTTCTGTGGAGCTCTACCAATTCATCTAGGTACGCCTGAAAAAGAGGATGCCCCAAAAGGACACGCACTTTTAGAAGTGGCACATAAACAGGCAAGGAAGTACAAGCAAAGGCTGAATGCTCCCCTTCTCCTCTCCCCCCACAGTCCAGGGAGAGTGAACTCAGTCCCTAAAGGCCTTTGCTATGGGCAGACCGATCTTCTCCCAACAAGTCCTGTTCAGAGATCAGGGGACTCAGCACAAAACTATGGGTTCAAACAGACTTCCCTGGGCAAACGTCATTTGTTATTCTTTAGAACTATGTTGTCTCTGAGAAAAATGCTGTTTGAAAATGGAAGGAACAATACCCATTACCATTGACATCAGGAATAATCCTCAAACCAATACTTCTTCCTGCTTACACTTACTATGTCCCAAACAATAATGCCAGCTGGTGACTGCCTCATGAAAAGCAGAGTTCACTGTCAATTAGCACCTGGGTCAGCAGGTGCACCTCTGAAAGGGCAGAGAGGCACTCTCTTTCCATATGCTCAGGTTCCCTGGTTCTGGTGAGCATGACTGCACGGATGTCCCCAGGAGCACTATTTGCACTAAAGAGGAAGGAAAGGTTTGTGAATGCCGACCCTGCAAAGGCTTTTGGGCCTTGCTCATATCAGGCCAACGTTGGCTCGGCAGTCAGCCATGGGCTGTACGATGAACTCTGAAAAAGCATGGGGCACTAGGATCAGATGACTTGTTCACTGGAGAGTCCTCAACCCCTTCCAAAAGCCCACGCCCACTGCTGTCCCGTTGATTCTGACTCAGCTACCACAAACGGCAGAACAGAACTGCTCCTGAAGTCGACTGCCTCCTCGCTCTCGCAGAGCAGTGGGTGGGTTTGAACCACTGACCTTGACCCTTCCATTATCAGCTCAATGCTTAGCCCATTGTATCCCAGGGCCCCTCTCTTTACCCCCTTACCTTTGCCACAATTATCTTACCTTTCAATTCCATATACCTAAAATCCCTGGGTGTGCTGGCAACATGCTAGCATAAGACCAAGCTAAACACTGAAGACTTCAGGAAGACGTGAGAAACAAACTATACAGCCCTTGTGAGGAAGGGACTGAAAGGAGAACCAGCAAGGCCGATCCAGGGAGACACAAAAGCTCAGTCATGGGTTGCGAACCTACCTTGTCACATTCGCCATTCTTGATTTGCTTATCTGATTTGCTTTGCTTTATTGGACTTTTCACTTCAAGAATCTAGGGATCAAAAAGAACACGGGGTTACATTTGACTTCAAGCAGTCACACAAGGCAAGGCAGTGACTGAGCGACAGGTTGCAAAGCAATACCATCCCTTGCCAAAGAGCACTGTCTCCTCTCTGTTTTCTGTCTTCTTCTCTTATGTCTTCTTGGGAAGTAACGTATTTGTATCTGCCATGCTGAGACATGGCAACAGAAGTGAAACAATGTGGGTGCTAAGGGAACCGATCGAAACTTGCCAGGTGGATTCTCTTCCGTGGAGCACGCTCATGCACACATAGAGCAGTTACGTTCTACGGAGAAGACAGTCTACACTGGCAAGATGGTTTTTATTCCTTCTGCTGTTTTGCCAGGGGTCCCTGGCTCAGGATGCAGGGGTAGACCAAAGAAACATCCACATGCCTCTTTGAGACCTGGCTTGGGATTCTACAGCTCATTTGCATCTTCGAAGGTAATGCGGCTTTGGAAATTAAGATGGCCTTCAGTTACACTGGTGGCTCTTGACCTGAAGCTCCCCTGCTCCAAGACTGAAGAGCTGGGCTCAGCTTCTCCATTTTGAACAATGATATCCAGGATAAAACAGTGTCTTCCCTTTCATCTGCACGGGTTATAACACAGGCTCAGTAGACTCGAATGTTGTTCCCAGTCGTTGGTGGAGCCTAAGTGAATTATTTAATAGATACAGGTGGCATAAGTAGACAGAATCTTAAAAACCTGAAGATTATGAAAAGGCCATTCCCAAATGGCCTTTGTTGGAAAGGGCAGTTTCTCCTTATTAATGACTGTTTGCCAACATGGACAGGCATAAAAAGCAAAGTAATTTATGTTTCTCATCATAACCTCATTACCTAGTAATGAGGCTAATCTGATTAACAGTGATTCTAATCTGAGGCCAATATTAAGGAAGGGGGGAAATGACAAAAAGGGATGATTTGTTTTAGGATGCCTCATACTTCTACTCTTCTTCTCTTGACCCACTCTCTATCCTAATAACACAGCACTGATTCACTCACCACCAGTGAGCCCATCCCGACGCCTAGTGAGCCTATAGGACACTGTAGCAATGCCTCTGTGGGTTTCCAAGACTGTAGCTCTTTTTTTAAAAAAAAAGATATTTGAAATACAACTTTATTCTAACGAAAAGGACTGAGAATGACAGTTAACGAACAAAACGTCACACTGAGTATTGTGATGTGACTGTAGCAGTCTTGTATTTGAATTTCAAGAAAGAAAAATGCGTTCCCAAACAGCTAGATAGGCGGGTCCAAAAAAGAGAGAGAGGTTTTTAACTGCCACACTCACTCCGAAGCCCATTCATCTCCTGCAGCATCCCAAAGATGAGCACATTCTGCTTAGCGATATAATAAGAGTGGCAAACACACTGTACCACTGACATCACAGGACAGTTGCCTGTAAAACTAGACTTCTGACGCTGGGCTCCAGCTTTGTTCTCTCACAGGCCATCTTCGTCCGGGAGAGCAGCTGTCTGCGCAACCTCTAAGTCATGCTCCTACTGGGCTGCCAAAGCCGGGTCCCTAACAACCTCTGGTGGGGCAAGAGCAGGCGTGGCCACAAACCCCAAGTTCGGATCGCCAGTGAGTGTTCCAGCAAGCCCAAGGAAGGGCTTGTCAGAGTGGCAGTGACTGGTGGCAGAAATGGCACAGTACTGAAGGTTCTTATTTCGGTGGAAGACAATGGATGTTGCCTTAACTTTCCTGTCCTTAATACCCACTTTGTTGCCACACAGCACGATGGGTATGTTATCACATACTCGAACTGGATCCCTATGCCAGTCAGGCACATTCTTGTAAGCAACCTTAGGGGTTACATCGAACATTACAATGGCGCACTGGGCTTGAATATAATAGCCATCTCTCAGTCCTCCACATTTTTCTTGACCAGCTGTATCCCACCCGTTGAATTTAATAGGTTCTCTGTTAGGATGGAACACAAGGGGATGGACCTCAACGCCCAAGGTAGCTACATACTTCTTCTCAAATTCACCAGTCAGGTGACGTTTCATAAATGTTATTTTTCCAGTACCACCACCACCCACCAGTACGAGTTTGAACTGGACTTGGGGTTCTCCTTGGGTGGCCATCGTGATGGATCTTCCAGAAGTGTCTCCAGGCTGCATCTGACTTGACTGTAACTCTTAGCAGGAGCAGAAAGCCTAGCCTTTCTCCCTTGGAGCGGCTAGTGGTTTTGAACTGATATCTTACAGGTCACAGCCCAACATTCAACCACTGCCAACAGGGCTCCTACTGATTCACAGGCCTACCATATTTTACAACTAAAAGGAGATTTTTAGGGGTGAATACATTTTTAATTTCTACTAAATACAGTCTGCTGGACTTGAAAACATTTGGGGAACGCAAAAAAATAAAATTAAAAAGCAATGAATGGGATGGGCAAGAGAGCACTCGATTCTCATTCAGCAGTAAAAAGCTATACTTCTAATAACATACATTTTACTTCTGGGGGAAAGGGCCATGTATACGGCCCAAGGGTGTTTTGTTTTGTTTTGTTCTCCATTGAACTTAGAGGAATGTCTAAGGTAAGAATGGTGCTTCTCGCACCACCTTATGGCATCTCTGTTTCTAACCTTAAGACAACCAAGTGGCTAACTTGGCTGGCTTTACTTAAAATACAGTATATTTTTGGTAATGGAAGGAAATTGGTTAGCCACAGAAGCAAGGCTCCCCATTAAACAACAACAACAACAACAACAACAACAACCAAACGATGCTCCCAGATAAAGGGAAACAAAGGGCTCTCCACCACCCACAACTCCTCTGTCTCTCTTGTTGTTGGCAAGGAGCCCCAGGGAGAACGCGCAGGGCTCCGAGAGCCAGGTAGCAGTAAGTAGGTCAGTAGATGGCACTCCTCCCCAAGCCGGCTCTCTGGCTGGCCAGTGCAGCAGACTCCACTGGGATTCCGGCAAGGGGAACCTTGTCTGCTGCCAGCCTTGTGCACAAGAAAACAGATTTCCCATGGTGTTGGGCCCCTTTCTCGGCCCATGTCCCCAACTCACTGCAGTCTGGGTGTCTAAGTGACTCAGGCCTGTGTATCTGCAACAGAACCTTGCGACCTAGGTTTAGAAAGATCTACTATCTTCCCTTATGAGTAGAAAATATGAGCGTTAGGGGGAGCGGTTTCAGTCCCACCCCAGAGGTGCCCCAGTGCATCCCCTAAGTGCCTCAGCACCCGGAGGGGAGGCGAAAACACAAGGAAATCCTAGTGTCTTTCTTCTGAGGCTGCGTGGAAGGTAGGAACAAAAGAGCCGGGTGTCAGCGAGAGCTGCTTCAAGTTACGAGAGGAGAGGAGAGGCGAGGCGGCTCAGAGAGGGCTGGCTTAATCTTCCTTCTTTGATCTCTCACTGCTCCAAAATAAACAGCTTTGTCAAAACCTCACTGGGAGAGAGCTGAGCCAAGCCGAAGACAATTGTTTTATTTATGATCACTTCTTATCTCGAGAGACCGACTCCATAATGTGAATGTCCCAGCACCTCGTCTTCCACAGGCCCGTTCCAAACCAGTTTAACTGGCTACTTAAATTCCATTCAGCATGTCTTGCAGGCCAAGAGGTGATTTATGATATGCCGAATATTAACTCGATGAATCGCTTCCTTCCTTCCAAGCTCCCCCCAAGCCCCTCCGTAACTAAGGGATCGGATACTTTGCTTTTGTCTGAAATTCTCATCAGGGAAGTTTGGGATGAAAAGGTGATCTCTGATGACAGAGGTGAAAACTTATTCTCCAAGAAGCTCTACTGACAGACACGGAAGCCCCGTTGGAGAGATGCAACATTTATAACACGGTTTGAAAAATCCGTGTCTGTGGAGTTGATTCGGAGCATCGTGAGCCCATAAGAGAGTAGAATTGCCCCTTGGCAATTCCAGGGCTGTAATCTTGACTAGGAACCCTGGCGGCATAGTGTGAGCACTCCAAGGTCAGTAGTTCAAAACTACCAGCTGCTCTGTGGGAGAAAGACGGGGTGCTCTACTCCTATGAACGCTACCATCTCAGAAACACACGGGTGTTTCTGCCTTTTAGGGTCACTATGAGTCGGCATCGACTCAATGGCAGTGTGTTTCGTCTGAGTTTTAATTTTTAATAAGGAAGTCGCCTCTCACATCTTTCTCCTGCGGAGCAGCTGGCAGGTTCAAACAGCCAACCTTCAGGTTAGCAGTCAAACACAACCACAGTGCCACCTGGGCTCCTTTCAGTCTCTGAAAATGAGAGCGCCGTGATTCATAGCCCGCCTGTGCTGAGAATCTGAGCATCAACGTTCGCAAATCATACTTCCCAGCATCCCTTTGTGAGAGGCGACAACCGGATTTCTCCGCAGCTGGGATCTCTACCAGTCGGCTTTTCATGTTCATGACCACAGGTGGCTCTGCACCAGTCACAAGTGATCGAAGCAGGTTAATTCCTTGCTTTGTTGATATGGGGTTCCCTCTTGGTTCGCTTTCTTCTTCAGCGGTTAGAAAATGTTTGATTCAATTAGCACTTTCTTCCATTCCCAGTCCTTGAAAGATATGAGAAGAGGCAACAGGCACCTCAGGTGCTTTACAGAAATCGGGGGAGGAGGGCATTCTCCAGAGGCAGCCAGGGGCCAGGGGCTAAGGAAGAAGGAACCTTCTAGCCATCCCATGGCCAAGTTCAGCCCTCACAGCAGTGTTCTCATTTCAGATGATCACATACCTTCCAAAATCAGGCTTAAAACACACTGCAGGCCCGAAGTGGAGTCTCTAGCTTTTTGACATTTATACTGTTTCCCTTCTCTTAATGATGGAGCATGGAAAAATAGAACATAATAATAACAGTAATCAGAATGTTTAAAAGATCCAGCCAGAGCCTGGCTTACAGGAAGAGTGTCCCACCTGACCTTGGGCGGGTGAAGAAAACAGTCCTAAACAACATTTAAGAACCCTTCTTTGCTTGTCCAGCTCCGGGGATGTCATTCGCACTGCTAGGCTACAGGCATCTCCTCCCCTCGATTGGCAGAAAGCGAAAGCATATGGGCTTTCTTACGCTTAACGGGGCATGGGGAAAGTGATAGGTAACTGAGTATTACTGACAGATTGATGGTTTGCATATGTGAAGCTACATTTGTCAAATAAACATATGCCAAGGAACTAGTGGCATGTCATTTAACCGGATAAAGTCATGCTCATCCTCTCCAAAGAGATGCTACTATCTATCTGTTGTAGGTTTTGTTAGCTAGACAGTAGGGGGAAAAATTCTGACAAACATTCCAAGTCTTTCCTGAAAGTCAGGGTCAGCCAGAGCCTGCTCATCCAGAAAGGGTTCAGGGACAACTATTAAGTTAGCAGGGCAGAGAGAAAGGCTTGGCAGAGCAACACTTATTTATGAGCAAGCACGGTCTCAACACTAAAGGAGATGAAGGTGGTTACTAAGGCCCACTCTAGTTCCCGGGGAGAAGCCTAGGTTATGAGCTGGGCTATCAGCCGCAAGGCTAGCAGCCTAAAGTCACCAGCCCCTCTTCAGGAGAAAAATGAAGTTTTCTACTCCCGTAAAGTTTTACAGACTCAGAAACCCATAGAGGGCAGCTATACGCTGTCCTATAGGATGCCTAGGAGTTGGAATCGGCTTAATGGCGGTGAGCTATGGTTGTGTTTTGAGCTTGGTGGTGAATGAAAATAATTAATATGCCTGGCAGCTAACCAAAAGGTTGGAAGTTTGAGTCCAACAAGGGCCACCTCAGAAGAAAGGGCCGGCACTCTACTTATGTGAATTCAGCTGCGGGAAACCATATGCAGCCAAGTTCTACTCTAATGCCCAAGGGGCTGCCATAGATCAGCAGGTCGACTTGATGGTAGCAGGCAAACCAGGCCCTATGGTCCTTATCCCTGCACTGTCATAACCATCACCCACCGCTGATCTTCATTCTCACACCCAAACCAACCCAATAAAACAAACCCACTGTCATCGAGTCGACTCCAACTCGGAACCACCCTCCAGGGCAGAGTGGAACCGTTCTCCTGGGTTTCCGAGGTGGCAACTCTTCATAGAGACAGACAAGCTCTTGTTTCTCTGGCAGAGTTGCTAAGTATAGCAACAACACATAACCTACGACCTCACCAGGTCTCCCAATTTTAATACACCATCTCCTAAAAGCAGAAATCAGCCTGGTGACATGCCACATTGGATATAAAATATATTCAAGGTCCAATTTCTATTCTTTCGTCAACTCGTATCTGGACAAATATTCATAACAGAGTCTGTTATCTAGTTAGCCAGCTTACTGATCTCCACTGAATGGCTATGATCCTTACATCCTTCCTCTTTTTACTTTCTCTCCAAATAATGGGCTGGTGGTGGGGGCCAGGCATGGCAGAAGGGAGAGATGGTTGGGTAAGGGGCAGGGCTGGCAGTGGGGGTGGTGAAGTACGTTGAGGACAGGGGGTTGGGGTGGGGATTCAGTATTAACTAGCTCCATGAACACCCCTTTGGCCACAGGCAATGATGCTGGGTGGCCGTTCATGAGAGAAACATAAAGAGAAACTGTGGTTGAACTGCACCTGGTAAGGTGCGGGCAAGGGACAGGGGAGGTGGTGGTGGGTAGGTACAAGGAGCCCTCCGTCTTCACAAGGATGGGTTTCGGTCGTGGATAAACTTTATTAATGAGGGACTTCACATTGTAAGAGAACTTTTGTTTCTACTGTAACACAAGCTTTAGAGAGAAAATGTAAAAAAACAATGCTTTCCAAGTAAGACAGACCCTGAATTCAAAGTTTCTCAGGCATAATTCATTGCCATCACGGCCGTGCTGACTCCTAGTATAGGACAGGGTGGAACTGTCCCTGTGAGTTTCTGAGACTATAACTCTTTTCAGGAGTAGAAAGCCCTGTGTTACTCTTGAGGAGCTAGCTGGTGATTTCAAACCGCTGACCTTGCTGTTAGTGGGCCAACTTGCAACCAGTTCGCCACCAGGGCCACTTTAAACCACAGAACACCTGTGATTGAAACAGCACCATTTCAGGGGAAAAGGCACACGCTTCAAGTTTATGTAAGGAAACTTGATTAGGCCGCTATTACAGGCACAGGTCACTGGGGATCTGTCTAAACAAAGAGA